AAAACATGCACACAGAGGGACTTCCTTGGTGGTCCAGTGGCTCAGACTCTGAGCTCCCAATGCAGGGGCCCTGGGTTCAATTCCTGGTCAAGGAACCAGATCCCACATGCTGCAACTAAGAGTTCACAAGCCATTCAACTAAGACATCCTGCGTGCGCGGCAATGAAGATTGAAGATTCCTGGGCCGCAACTAAGACTTGGCACAGACAAATAAAAAAATAATAGATATTAAAAAAAAATGAACACAGAGAATTGGAGGGCACTAGAGAGTCCCTTGGACTGCGAGGAGATCCAACCAGTCCATCCTAAAGGAGATCAGTCCTGGGTGTTCATTGGAAGGACTGATGCTAAAGCTGAAACTCCAATACTTTGGCCACCTCATGCGAAGAGTTGACTCGTTGGAAAAGACCCTGATGTTGGGAAAGATTGAGGGCAGGAGGAGAAGGGGACGACAGAGGCTGAGATGGCTGGATGGCATCACCGACTCGATGGGCATGAGTTTGAGTAAACTCCAGGACTTGGTGATGGACAGGGAGGCCTGGCGTGCTGCGATTCATGGGGTTGCAAAGAGTCGGACACGACTGAGCGACTGAACTGAACTGAACTGAGAGTGGGAAACGTCCCTTAAAATCCAAATCAGCTAAATGAGGAAATGGCCACAGAGAGACGTCAGAGAGCTGGTCAGTAGTGGCATTGGGTGGAGCCGGGTCTCTTGATTCCTTTTCCAAACTGTTTCCTCAAATAGGGATGTAGGCTGTAGACGCAGGGAAGGGGACACCTTTCTCATTGTATTCCTAGGAGACACGTAGTCTAAGGGGCACCAATCTCTATAAAATGCGATGGAAATGGGGCCTCCTGGAGCTGGGCAAGGGCCCTGTACCCAGTACAGAGTTCAAGCCATCCCCGAGGCATAATTATAAGAACATGGTTCTGAGAGGCGGGCCCAGTGGGCGATGTAGGCTGTGACTGTGGAAACGTGGTTTATCCACATGCAGCCAGGAGGCTCATGGGGCACTCAACCCCGATTCTGGCCTCTTTAACTCTGCCCTCCCCCCTTCACTTTCCCTAGTAAAAGCTCTGAGGGGGAGTCACGTGCCCCTCAGAGGGTGTCGTGGTTAACAAGCCTGATCAAGTTTGCAGAGGAGGGTCTCCCCGTGACCTGGCCGTCATTTCGCACGCAGTGGCCAACTCCTTTCCCCCACCACTTCTCAGCTCAGCCTTGTGGAAACGAAACACAGCTGTCAGCTTCCAGGAGCCTCACGGTTGCCATGGGTTACATGCATTCAAAACTGAGGATGGAACCAAAACAGGCCTTTAAATATCAGCCCTCAACGGGGAGCTAAAAGAAGCGCTCCAACACCTTTAAAGAAATCAGGTGACATCATGATGAAGACGCTGCCTGGAGCCTGGATGTGTCAACAGCTGCTAAAAATACCCTCTCTCCAAGGCGCTTGCAAGTCACGGTAAATACTCAGGGACAGGAGAGAGGATGTCTGTAACTTCAGCCCCCTGCTTGCTAGCCAATCCGGTCCCTGCTGACCACATGCGGTCACCAGCCCTTGAAACTGGGCATGCATGAATGAAAATGTGCGGTGAGGAAATTGGCTATAATCGGTGGGTAGAAGCACAAATGTTGATACCTCCCCTCATATATCAAAATTAGCTCCTGAAAGATGAAACAAAAGCAAGGACAAATATGACCTTCCGATGGCCCCTAAGTGTCAAAGAATACTAACAACAGGAGAAATCACAAAGAAAAGGAGAGCTTTTATTTTTTAAAAAAGTAAAAACTTTAGTTTTTTTCTGACAAATATTAATTTTAAAAAGGAAAAGAAATTATACTCATGCCAGATACTCTGCTAGGTACTTTTACAAGCCTTTTTTTTTTTTTGAGAAATGTATTTTTATTTAGATATAAATGGGAACTTTCTGGCGGTCCAGTGGTTAGGACTCGGTATTTTCATTGCCAGGGACCTGGGTTCAATCTCTGATGGGGGAACTAAAATCCTGCAAGCTATGTAGTGTGGCAAAAAAAAAGGTATAATTGGCATATAATATTGTGCAGATTTAAGGTAAAGTGTTGATCTGATATATTGCAATATTATCACCATCATAGTGTTAGCTAACACTTCTATCATGTCACATAATTATTTTGTTTTTTTGTGATGAGAACAATTAGGTTCTATTTTCTTAGCAACTTTGTTTTTTTTTTTTTTTAATTTATTTATTTATTTATTTTTTTAATCACAACCATAGTGTATCTTTTTTTTTTTTTTTTTTACATGTATTCCCCATCCCGGTCCCCCCTCCCACCTCCCTCTCCACCCAATCCCTCTGGGTCTTCCCAGTGCACCAGGCCCGAGCACTTGTCTCATGCACCCAACCTGGGCTGGTGAACTGTTTCACCCTAGATAATATACGTGTTTCAATGCTTGAAACATCCCACCCTCGCCTTCTCCCAGAGTCCACAAGTCTGTTCTATACATAGGAGTCTCTTGTTCTGTTTTGCACATAGGGTTATCGTTACCATCTTTCTAGCTTATAATACAGTCTTGTGGGCTCTGATCACTGTGCTGTGGATTAGTGCTTATATATCTACTAGTTGAAGTTTGTAAAAAGCTTTAGTGTTAGAAAAAAAAATCATATGGACTTCTCTGATCGTCCAGTGGTTAAGAATCTGCGTGCCAATACAGGGGACACCAGTTCAGTCCCTGGTCCGGAGGGAAGATTCCACATTCCACATGCCACAGTTACTGGGGTCATGTACTGCAATGAAGACCCAGTGCAGTCAAAAATGAATAAAGTAAATAAAAATGACTTGTGTAAAAAAAAACATGCATATAAATAAATTTTAAAACCACATAAAAGGGGAAATTATTTTCCATAAAGATTATATTTAAATACACCCAAAATATGGATAATATGTTAATACTCCAATAATAGAATGGCAATTTTCAGAAGAAATACAGATGGCTGATAAACATTAAAGTGTTCTCTCTCACTAGTAATCAAAGAAAAACAAATTAAAACCACCATTAAATGTTTTAAAGTGAGTCACATTAAGGCAAGTTTCAGGGCTTCCCAGGTGGTGTTGATGGTGAAGAACCCGCCTGCCAATGCAGGAGACCTAAGAGATGCAGGCTTGATCCCTGGCTCAGGAAAACCGCTTGAGGGAGGGCACAGCAAGCCACTCGGAATCCGTGCCTGGAGAATCCCATGGACAGAGGAGCCTGGAGGACCGCAGTCCACGGGGTCGCACAGAGTCGGACATGCCTGAGCGACTGAGCATGCAGCACGCGAGGCAGAGTTTCACACCTGTTCGCTATAATTCAAGTCAGCGAAGTTTTGTTTTTCGATGGTAATCATTCATAGCTGATGGGAAGGTAAACAGAGAAAAGTTCTCTGGAAAGCAGCTTGCAATGTACATCGAGTCTAAAAGATTCTAAAAATGTTCTACTCTTTGACCTGGGAATTACACTTCTGTGGAAATGAGCAGACGAGTTTATGTGCAAGGATACCCATGTGTCCAGCACTCATAATAGAAAATACCTGAAGCAGCTCAAATATGCAAATACACTATGGTACAATCATGGAGAAGAAAAAAAATGTACTGTAAGGATAAAATACACCCTGGACTTCAAAGACAGTATGAGGAAAAAACACAAAATAACACATAAATACTTCTAGATTGATCTCATACAGTAGTCAATATGTTAATGTTAAATATTGGGTTGGATAAAATATATTATTATATAATGGGTTATATAAATTGGGTTTAATAAAAGATTTTAAAATTAATTTCACCAAATTCTTTTTACATTGCCTTTTCTTTTTACATTGCTTTTTTTTTTTTTTTTCAAGCCACATACCATGTGGCTTGTAGGATCTTAGTTCCCGGACCAAGTACTGAACCTGGGCCCCACTAGTGAAAGTGCCAAATCTTAATCACTGGACCACCAGGAAAATTCCCTCTTTTTGCTTTTTTAACGTGGCTACCAGAAAAATTAAGAGCATTATACATGTGTATTTAAATTCATGCTCACATGTGTGGGTTGCAGTGTATTTCTATAACAGTGCTTCGTAGCAGGGCTGTGAGTCCTTCCAGGAACTTGTCCTAACCTCTCTTCCACCCCAGTTTCTGCTTCCCACGCTAATCTTCCCCTTTTTCTTTTTCTACATTTTATACTCTTTCAACAAGGGATTACATTTTATATTTTTTCAACCAGCTTACTTCTACTATTAGACAGGGAGAATAATAGCAAACATCTTTTAGAAGGCTTGTTAAATGCCAAGTACTTTACCTTCTTATGTCATATAATGACCCCTTCCTCCAGTATACAATAAGGTAGGTATCTCTATTGGCACAGAGAGGTTAAGCTACATGCCTAAGGCCACACAGCTATTAAATAGAGAAACCAAGATTCAACCCCCTGGTAAGGGCTTCACTCAAGCTCAGCGAGTAAAGAATCTTCCTGCAATGCAGGAGGCCTGAGTTCAGTTCCTGGATTGGGAAGATCCCCTGGAGAAGGAAATGGCAAGCAACGCCAGTATTCTTGCCTGGAGAATCTCCTGGGTAGATAAGCCTGGCAGGCTACAGTACATGGAGTCTCAAGAATCAGACACAACTTAGCGATTAAACCACCACCAGCCTATCTTTCAAGCCCTTCTGTTCCACGTTGCATAACGAAAAATGGGAGATTGGGAAATCTGAATAGAAAGCTCTTTGGAGGGCCTGGCCGGTGGGCGCCGCCGCCGCCGCCGCCGCCGCCCGCCTGCCGCGGGGAGCCAGCGCAGGGCCCGGGCCGCGTCGGACCACGACCCTGTACCGCACGGAGGAGCGCGGCCAGCCCCACTCTCCCGATTACCGCCTCTTTTTCAAGAATGTAGCTGGTCACTACATTTCCCCCTTTCATGATATTCCTCTGAAGGTGGACTCTGAAGAGGAAAATGGCATTCCTACAAAAAGAGCACGAAATGATGAATATGAGAATGTGTTTAACATGGTTGTGGAAGTACCTCGGTGGACAAATGCTAAAATGGAGATTGCCACGAAGGAACCATTGAATCCCATTAAACAAGATGTGAAGGATGGCAAGCTTCGCTATGTGGCAAATATCTTTCCTCACAAGGGTTATACATGGAATTATGGTGCCCTCCCTCAGACTTGGGAAGATCCCCATCGAAAAGATAAGAGCACAGACTGCTGTGGAGATAATCATCCCATTGATGTTTGTGAAATAGGCTCAAAGGTTCTTTCTCGTGGAGAAGTTGTTCATGTGAAGATTCTTGGAGTTTTGGCTCCTATTGATCAGGGTGAAACAGATTGGAAGTTAATTGCTATCAATGTGAATGATCCTGAAGCCTCAAAGTTTCATGATATTGAAGATGTTAAGTACAAACCTGGTTACTTAGAAGCTACGCTTAATTGGTTTAGATTTTATAAGATACCAGAGGGAAAACCGGAAAACCAGTTTGCTTTTAATGGAGAATTCAAGAACAAGGCTTTTGCTCTTGAAATCGTTAAATCTACTCATGTATGTTGGAAAGCATTACTTATGGACAAGTGTGATGGCGGGGCTATAAATTGCACAAATGTGCAGGTATGTGATAGCCCTTTCCATTGCTCTCAAGAGGAAGCAAGATCATTAGTTGAATCGGTGTCGTTTTCATTGAATAAAGGAAGTAATGAAGAAGATCAAGTATGGCACTTCCTTGGCCAGTGATTAGAACATCTGAAGGTCTTCCATCAGGATTCCAGCCTCTAAGAATGCCGAGATTCAATCTCCCCCAAGTGCTCGAAACAGGCAGAATTTGCTCATTAACTTCCTATTGAAACTTCTTTTTTTTTTTCCTTCAAGCTTTTTGCAATATGCAATGTGTAAATAAACATTGACATTTTGGAAAAAAAAAAAGAAATCTCTTTGGAAAAACTGATTGTGTTTCCCTATCTGTACTGCCAGCTAGTCCTGGAGGAGATGTTGCTCTAGCGTAAAAGCTTGGTCAGCTTCTAAAATGAATCCATCAGTGCCATGGACGACACTGTGCCTGCCCCAAGCTGGTGTATGAAGCCCTAACTCCCAATGTGGCGGTATTTGGATGCAGGGCATTTGTGAACTGATGAGATTTAGACGAGGTCATAAGAGGGCAGAGGAGGAGAGGGTTGGATGGCATCACTGACTCCATGGGCAGGAGTTTGGCAAACTCTGGGAGACAGTGAAGGACAGGGAGGCCTGGCATGCTGCAGTCCATGGGGCTGCAAGGAGTCGGATGTGACTCAGCATGAGAGGGTGGGGCCCCGTGATGGGATTAGTGTCCTTACAGCCATATGGAGAGCTAGCTCTCTCTCCCCCACGGGAGCACACAGCCAGAAGGCAGAGGTCTGCAAGCCAGGACGAGGCCCTCACCAAGAATCCAGACCAGGCCCCAGCTGCCAGAGGCGTGAGAAGGGAAGCTCCTGCTGCTCAAGCCATGCTGTTTGTGGGGTTCTGTTGTTGTTCAAGACGAGGACAGCTGGACTTCAGAGTCCTGAGTCCCTGCTCCTAGGAGCGCATCTTGTGAACCTCCTCTTCATCAGGAGCTCTGGACAATGTGAACGAGCCGGGAGGAATGGGCAAAAGAAGATGTAGAGATTTCAAACGGAAGAAGACAAAGGAATGACCTAGCTGGGGTGGGGGGGCAGAAATGCTGGGCTGAAAACTGTTGACTATATGGAGGTCCCTGGTGGTCCCCAGGGATTAGGACTCGGTGCCTTCGCTGCCGTGGCCCAAATTTCAATCCCTGTTCGGGGAAACTCAGACCCCACAAGCCGTGCAGAGAGGCCAAAAAGAAAAAAGAAAAATGACTGTCTAAAGCAAAAACAATGCTAATAGTTGTGGGCACATATGGGGTAAAATATAGCACAGCAATGAGCACAAGGATTGGCGAGAACATAGACAGGTTAGAAGTAAAAGGGTGAAAAATATATATCATGAAAATACCGGGGAAGGGATAGTTAGGGACTTTGGGAAGGTCATGTACACACTGCTATATTTAAACAGATAACCAGCAAAAACCTACTGTATAGCACATGGGGCAAGGTTATGTGTCAGCCTGGATGGGGCGGGGTTTGGAGGAGAATGGATGCATCTATGTGTGTGGCTGAGTCCCTTCACTGTCCGCCTGAAACTATCACAACGTTGTTAATCAGCCATACCCCAATACAAAACACTTTCGCTATTAAAAAAAATTAAAAAACAAAGTGAAAAAAATATATATATCATGAAAATACTACTCATAAGAAAACTAGAGTGTCTATATCAATTTTTCAGACAAAATAGATTTCAGCCTCAATAAGTTTAAAAGGATTGAAATTACACAAAGTATGACCTCTGACCACAATGAAATTAAATTATAAACCAATACCAGAAATATACTTGAGAAATTCCCAAATATTTGGAATTTAAATAATACACTTCTAGGAGAAGGAAATGGCAACCCACTCCAGTGTTCTTTCCTGGAGAATCCCAGGGACGGGAGCCTGGTGGGCTGCAAATCTATGCGGTCGCACAGAGTCGGACACGACTGACGTGACTTAGCAGCAGCAGCAGCAGCCCTTATACAGGAGCAAAGGTGAAGAGCCGCGGACATGTCCTCCCAAAGAGGCTCCCCCACTCCCCTCTCCACACCAGTGACCCCAGAGCTGCACCCTCACCAGATCCCTCTGCAGGGTTCGAGCCACAGGTGACCAGCTGTCCCCATAGACTGTCACCAGGAGTCCCCCAGGCAGCCAAACTAGGGCTGCATGGAGGCCAGGTTTATCCTGAACTCAGGTCGCTGTGAGGAGGAGACTGAAAAAAAAAAAAAAAATACACTTCTAAATAACTCATGGAGAAAAGAAGTTCTCTGGCCTGGTCCTACATACCACACCGGTGGGCCAAGAAGTAAATAAATAAAGCAACAAATAAAATGCTTCAAAAAAATGATCAAACTTCTGGAGGTTGTGGGAAGCACCAAATGTGTAGCTGGCTGAACAGAAGTGCATGTGGCTTTATGGCTGGCATCTGATGAGTGGGGACAATTCTGCAACAGACTTTGGTCTTAACTCATGACATCTGTGCTCACCCCAGGTAGGTAGTGTCAGAACTGAACTGTATTCAAGGACACAAGTTGTTATCAGAGAATTGGTGTTGGAACATGTCAGCTAAGGCCCCAGACATCACAGAGCAAAGACTAGCAGTCCCCAGGCTGCTTTTTCCAAATCCTGACCCAGTGAATCTGCGAGCTTAATAAAGTGACTTTTATGTCACTTTGGGTTGGTTTATTTCACAATCATAGATAAATGGACCCATGGGGTCCACCTGGAGAGCTGTAAGGGCCAGAGATCACATACAGAAATCACCTCATTCGGGGCCTGACACAGCAAATGTCAGAAACGGCGACTCTTACCCTGATCATTTTAACAAGTGAGAGGACAGTGGGAATTCCCTGGCAGTTCAGTTGTTGGGACTTGGCATTTTCACTGCCAGGGGCCCAGGTTCGATTCCAGCTCAGGGAACTAGAACCCCACAGCCAAAAAATAAATAAAGTGAGAGGACTGTACCCAATTAGCTGTATTTTTGTGGCTCAGTGGTAAAGAAGCCTGCCAATGCAGGAGACACAGGTTCCATTCCTGGGTGGAGAAGATCCCCTGGAGAAGGAAATGGCAACCCACTCCAGTATTCTTGCCTGGGAAATCCCATGGACAGAGGAGCCTGGCAGGCTACAGTCCATGGGGTCACAAAAGAGTTGGACACGACTTAGCAACCAAACACCAAAGCTCTTTTTCGCCCCATCAGTCTTGACCCCTCTTTCCACTAGCCACTGCCCTTCCAGGAAATCTGAAAGTCAACCCCATGTAGCAAAGATCCTCCTCCACAAGCCCCAGTCACATTCTTCTACCTGGAAGTGATGAGCGTGCCAGCGTAGGGTTCAGAGCCAGCGCCCTTTTGCCTGCCTCTTTCATCTTTTGCCTTTCAGAAGCCAAGCTCCATTTTGATCTGAGGCTGACCCTAACATTATTCTGTGGGCTCCTCTGTGTATCTAGGCTCATCAGAGTCCTGCAGAGTTGGGGGTGCAGTGGTGGTCAGGTGAGGAATCCGCTCAGCCCATTAGGAATGTAAACAGCTTATCTGTTAATTCCCAGTCCCCTTGCCACGGCCAGTGGAATCTTGCCAAGGAAGCACATTACTCCTCTGTGTTCTGACTTGCCACAGACACAGAACAAAGGTTCTCCGCCCTCTCCTGTGTGTCTGCTGCCTAACAGCTCTCCCTGCCTCTCTCCCTCTGATGCTTTTTCTCTTTACACCGAATCGTGAAACAATTGCAGTCACAAAGACCTGGATTCCAAGATTGAACAAGCCAAAGTTCGTAACCACAGGAATGACCTATAGCATGAGATGATCACAGTCTTCAGATGAATACAGCGAGGAGCTTCCTCTGACGTTCAAGCTCACAGCCATCGTGGGAAAGTTGTCTAGTGTGCCTTAGGGCTAGGCAAGTAAGTGAGGGCTGGACTTGGCAGAGGAAAAGCCGGGGACTGCCCCACGTTGCATGCGCTAAGTTCCTCAGTCATGCCGGACTCTGCAATGCCATGGATTGTAGACTGCCAGGCTCCTCCGTCCATGGGATGCTCCAGGCAAGAATACTGGAGTGGGTTGCCATTTTCTACTCCAGGGGATCTTCCCGACCCAGGGATCGAACCTGCATCTCTTATGCCTTCTGCACTGGCGGGCAGAAAGATATGTTCCATGATCCACACAGAAATGCTGAAAGGGCTTTGCTAGTGGCACAGACAGTAAAGAATCTGCCTGCAGTGCGGGAGACCCAGGTTCGATCCCTGGGTAGAGAAGATCCCCTGGAGAAGGAAATGGCACCCCACTCCAGAATTCTTGTCTGGAGAATCCCCTAGGCAGAGGAGCCTGGCGGGCTGCAATCCCTGGTATTGCAGAGCCAACTGAGCAACTAATCCTTTCAAGCACTTGGCTGGACTGGGAGCGCTTTCACATGTGTCCACCAGGGGTCAGCACTGAGTAAGCACCTGCCAGGAGCCAGGCACAGTTCTGAGAACTGCATCTGCACTAAGTAATTTTTTCCTCAAAACAACCATGTGGGGTAAATACCTTTATGGTTTTCATTCTATGGATGAGCAAATAGAGGCTTGGGGGATTACTCCAGGGCCACTGAGTCAAAACAAGACAAAGCTAGGATATGCACCTAGACTGTTCAATATGGCATCTATTTCTGCTTTATTGACTATGCCAAAGTCTTTGACTGTGTGGATCACAACTAACTGTAGAAAATTCTGAAAGAGATGGGAATACCAGACCACCTGACCTACCTCTTGAGAAATCTGTATGCCAGTCAGGAAGCAACAGTTAGGACTGGACATGAAACAACAGACTGGTTCCAAATAGGAAAAGGAGTATGTCAAGAACGTATATTGTCACCCTGCTAATTTAACTTATAAGCAGAGTACATCATGAGAAATGCTGGGCTGGAGGAAGCACAAGTTGGAATCAAAATTGCTGGGAGAAATATCAATAATCTCAGATATGCACATGACACCACACTTATGGCAGATAGTGAAGAAGAACTAAAGAGCCTCTTGATGAAAGTGAAAGAGGAGAGTGAAAAAGTTGGCTTAAAGCTCAACATTCAGAAAACTAAGATCACGGCATCTGGTCCCATCACCTCATGGGAAATAGAT